CACAAACTAGGTCATTTCGGGACCAACATATGGTTTAATTTTATTTCAATAATTCGCTTGCGCGTAGGGGTCTTTAGCAGTGGGAGGAAACCGGAGGACCCGGAGAAAACCCACAAGGTTGGACAGGCGACCCTACCCCTTGCGTCAATTTACGGCTTCCATGAGGGGAAAAAAGTGGAATTTCGCCGTGACACCGGCACCGATTGTCCGAAAACCATGAAATTAGGACACAATACGCCCATTACCACCCCTGACTCTGTGCTTTACCCCCATTTTGATCACATTAAAAAGAAAAGAGTTTTAGCAAAAAAACGATTTTCGGAATTTAATATTGGTTTTAATTAATTTTGAAATTGGAAATGCAAAGAGATTTTATCGCCTCTTCCGTATGTGATAGGTATTGGTACTATACACATTATCCTTAAAAGACAATTTTTTAAACTGACCGTAACGATGCATCGACACTAGAAACCGAAATCGCCTATTTTGACCTATTTTGACTGCTGGGGTATCTTTCCGTACGTGACAAGGAGTAGGTCGCCCGTCCAACCTGTGTATTTTTTCAGGATCACCCGGTTTCCCCCCACTGCTAGACCCCTACGCGCAAGCAAATTATTGAAATAAAATTGAACCATACGTTAGTCCCGAAATGACCTAGTTTGTGTCGAGTGGTCGATCAACCCCATTTCGCTCTCTCAATTTTAGCACTCCTAACTCTAAAACTAAATGCAAGGAACGGGCCTATTTACAGAGGTCACAATTTTAACCTACATGCACACCTACATGATATACATATTATTATAATCCCTATGGGATATTTTAATTATTTACTGTTATAATATGAATTATCACTTATTCCCCGTTAAATAAATATCGGTCACCGGGTGCAGCTGTACAACCTCAAGGACCTTGGCCTCAAGTGCATGGGACCAACTCTACATTTTCTGAAATGTCAATAAAAGCCCTGGAATGATTTCATTTAAAAAAAATAATCAGAAAGTAAATCTAGTTTTATTTATATGCTATTTGTTGCCAGAAAATATATTTTGTTACGAGTCTAATTCAAATATAAAAATAAACAATGGGTCTGAGGCATATTTTATTGATATATAGAAATTAATGCAGTGTTCTCATTATGTGATAAAAGAGTGCCAGAAATGTCTCGAAATTCAGCCATTTGTGTATTTAGTATATCAAGTATATGCGTGTATTACAAAGCTCTGATTTGTGTGATTTGTGTACACCCCGCTCCCCCCCCCCTCCTCGTGTCACTATCATGTACATATCAATTCTGCTGCCAACCCACCCACGCGAACATGACTAAATTATGAAACATTGTCTAGTCGTTTGTATGTTACGACAAAACGAGGCCAGCGTGGCTCATTTGCTGCAGAACGGAAGGCCTTGCAAGGATTAGTGTCTAGTCGTTTGGATGGTACGAAAACCCGAGGTCAAAGTGGTTCCCCGTTGGCAGTGGTGAAGTATGGAAGGCCTAGCAAGGATCTGTGTCTAGTCGTTTCGATGGGACGAAAAACGCCCGTCCCCTCGTCCATGGTACAAGGATTAGTGCCTAGTCGCTTGGATGGTATGCAAAACAGAGGTCCCCGTTCTCTCCCTTTGTCTGTGGTTCTTGACCGAAGGCCCGACAACTAACTTTACGTGCAGTTTTTTAGGTAGGACGAAAAATCGAAATCCTGTGTGCATATTGGCGTGCACGAAAAATAACCCTTTGCATTTTGAATTTTATGCACCCACCCCACCCTCGAACAACGCTTAACATAACATTTTGTTTTCACTACCTACATTGTAAAATTTGTTTGATTTCAGATGACTTAGCCCCGGTTTTTCACAGTGAAAGATTTTGATGAAACTTGACATGCATGTTTATAACCCAAAGATATGGTTCCTTTCGATATTTGCGCATATCGAATCGTAACTTCATGAATTATGGTCCCTGATTGTAAGAAAAATCACTTTATATTTCGCGTGTTCTCTATCTATCTCTCGGAAATGGAATATGGAAATACACAAGCTAGCTAGTGTATTACAGGTTGGTGGTGGTGGGGATGAGGTCTTCTATTTGCAATGATTTTTTGACTACAAAATATACGCTCTAACTCATTACTCAAACTACAGCAAAAAAAAAGCGGATCGGAAACCCGATTTTATATATTCTTACAATAGCAACGCACTTCGGGATTAACTTAGAAATGGTTCCACTACTGATGTCTTCCGCCTTACTCCTGCCACAGTAGTGGCTTGTCCTACGGAGTTCCTTTCCGCAAGTTTTTTTTAGTCAAATGACTACAAAAAGGTAATTGGCCTATGTATAGCTCCCTTAATTTACACATAAACTGACCTAAAACTGCACTGCACCTATAATAAACCAATTCCCATTGAAATAAAGGTGAAGCCGTACCGCATAATTATATGATTTGATGAAACCCAACTGCTACCTGAAGTTTCTCGCCTATCGAAGTTATAATATCCGCCGGTGTCATGGCGGCTCGCACATTATAAGAATCATTGCTTTGAAAATGTAGAACGCATTAACACAAAGAAAAACTGATGGGTAACTAGTTTAGTGGTCCAGTCTTCACTATAATTTGTGATAGATTACTGTTTTAAAAAAAACTGAATGATGTAAAAATAAAAATGGTTGGAGTGCCCAAGTTTAGATTTGTCGTTGATTTCATAAAGATGTTAGGATATAGAACGTTAAATACTGTGTGATTCAACATGGCGGCCGAGGGGTTTAATATGATATAAGTACGAAATACATGTACATGTAGTACCAAATGGTTTATATGTATGAGAGTCAAGGTTTGGACTAAATGTCTTGGGGAAGTAGGGGGCGACTAGCATGTGCCTCTCTTTAGTGGACCGATGTGAGATTGCCCATTGTATTAACTGGACGGGTAGGCCTATTCACCTTCAGTTATGTGTCAATGTCAAATAAGCGGCTTCGTATCAACACGGTCGGCTCTGGGCCGGTTTAATTCTACGTATCTCTCGTAGCTGAGAGAAAAAAGATTTTTTAGCCCAGAGAATATCTTCCGTCAGAGTGGTTGTTGATTCATAGATTCTAATAACCCCTTTTGAAGTTTATATGAAAGCTTTGATATCTGCTATGCAGATCTAGTTATTATTAGTATTATTATTGTTATTATCAGACAGAAGTCTTTACTTAGCCTCAATAGAAAAAGACTATTAGTGAATAGAAAATATCCACAAAGTTTCACACTCCTAACTCAAATAGAATCGAAGTAGTCGAGCTCTAAAGTCTTGCAGTAATTCAAGTTGCTTATTGCTCTGCTTACACTTAACAGTTTGACCCCGTTCACTCAAATATAATCGAAGTTATCGAGCTCTAAATTCAAATTGCCTATTGCTCCAATTAAGCTGATCAGAACATGTTCATGTTCGAACTTATTCAACGTATTGATGTAGTAAATCTATAGAACCAATTTTTATCATTCTCAATTAATTAGAATTAAAGTTATCGTCTCCCAAAGCATCAATCAATCATATCGCTTGACCTGAGCAGAGTGTGATCGATCATCTTTGGCCTACATCAAGGCATTAACTTCATAAGTATATACACCATGTTTAAACATTCTACCTCAATTAGAAGAGGGAGCTCTGCACACAAGCAATAAACAACAAATATCAAATCCGGTGGAAAATGGCCATCGTCGGACTCAGTCAAGTCATTCACATAATTAAACACATACGTCAAGTTTGAACAGTGTGTTCCAACGACTCGAACAATCAGAATGGATTCTATATTTAACCTCAGTAGAATGTGTTTATTGGTGAATAGAAAGTGTCCACCAAGTTTCACACATCTAACACAAAAGAATCGAAGTTGTGAGCTCCAAAGTCTTGATATTTCAAGTTGTGTATTACTCTGCTTACAGTGAACAATTTCACCTCTCTCACTGAAACATAACGGAAGTTATCGAGCTCTACAGTCAAATTGCCTATTGCTCTAATTAAACTGAACAGAACATGCTCATGTTCGAACTTGGTCATCGTATTGATGTAATGAATTTATAGACCGGAGTTTTATCATTCTCACTTAATTAGAATTAAAGTTATCGTCTCCCAAAGCATCAATCAATCATACTATTTGACCTAAGCAGAGTGTGATCTTTGATCTACATCAAGGCATTCACTTCATAAATATCTAAACCATGTTTAAACATTCTACCTCAATTAGAAGGGAGAGGAGGAGGGGGGGGGGGGGGCTCTGCACACAAACCAAACAAAACCGAAAACACAAACCTGCCGTCACGACACAAACTACACAGACATTGCAAACAAATCACGTGAATGGATTCAGTCGCCATATGTATTGCTTAATAGATTGTCAAACCACTAAAATCCAACGATAGGAACCATTCTAGACGAGAAAGCTTCGACGGATTTTCCGATGTGATCCCAGTTGTCAGTGGCACATGATGGAGAGTCTGGCAAGGACAGTATCTAATTGTACATGTAAAATAAACCTTAATCGTTGGAATTCAAAGTAAGAGTAGGCAGTAGCACCAGCGTCCGGGCAAAATTTCCCTCATGCACTGTTAGAAGTCATTCTGTATTTTTACATATAAATTGACTGGCAGCAAAGTTGCCAGTCAATTCAACTGTATTTTTACAAACACCTGTATTTTTACCAGTATTCTGTGAAAATACTTGACACTGTAAATTTACTACTGCATGTAAAAAAACTTAATATCAAGTTTTTTTAATACATTATACAGTAAAATTACATATGATTTTAACATGCAGCTACAGTAAAAATACAGTTGAATTAACTGGCAACTTTGCTGCCAGTCATTTTATATGTAAAAATACTTTGTAACATGTTGAACTGAAAACACATTTTTCAAAAAATTTCACTTCACTGGTAGATTATTTTAAAATTTTAACTGATTTATCATTAACAACACAAAATCACTTCAAACATTTTAATCATGATTAAAAAAGAACACTCCAAAGAAATTATCATTAAGGTTTATTTTTCTTCCTACATTTATTCTTTCTCAATTTAATCAAATATTCACAACAAAGTAAAAAAAGCAGTTGCCAGGCATTGCCACTAAAATAATAGTATGAAAATAAAAAGTCTGTGTAGAACTTTCTCATATGAAAATACAGTTAGGCTTATGTCCGCCAGCTGAAATCCCCAAATAAATAGATGACATACCAATTAAATATATATTTAAGTGTATTTTTAAATCAGATAATAATTGTGACCTCTAGAAGGACCACAAGCTAAAAAGCATGATTTTCTGTACAATCAAGGCGAATAACTCATTAAGTTACATGCCAATATCGAAAGGAAATGAGATCTTTGGGATATAGACCTATATTTCAAGTTTCGTCAAAATAGGAAACAAATTATGACCTTTAGAGTGTCTACAAACAAATCGTTGTACAGAGGGACAGAGGGAAATGTAAGAGTATAAACAAAAAACAAAACTACTCATCCCAGAGTAGACATAATATAACAAAATCCTACTAACACAATTTAAAATGAATGTGCTATTTACATTGAAAATTCAATATTTAAGAATATCTGACATGTACTGGCTTTAACCACAAATCATAGGATCAAATGGATAGTGCTTTAATGCTACAACATGATCATATTTTATCTTGTACAGTGAAAGAGGAAAAGGATTTAATACATCTTTAAATTTTAATATACACAAATTTCTCCTATGTGTAAAATCAATGTTATATAGACCCAAATCAGATCTTTGACAGATATATTGTTTGCAAATTATGTAAGGGTCTCCTTTGAAAATAACACAAAGATCTACTTGTCCAAATGTTATGATACCATTAAGTATCTTTAGGACAAAAATTAAACCATTTTTGACGATAATGCCATTTGATGTGAAACTACTAGCAATTTGAATGTGAGATGATTCCCTCAATGTATCATTAATAATACACTGTACTTCAATATCAAACATAGATATTTCAACATCCGTTACATTTTCAAAACTTGCTGATAAATTAAATAAATTTCCTGCATTACAATATGCTTGTAACAATTGATGTTTCATAGCTAATGTTTTCGTAACATTGATAAAATTCTTAAAGTTCCGGACACAACGTTTGAAAAAAGTATGCTTGCTTTCAAATCTCATAGTCCAGACATGCATTAATGGACCATACTGTGTTATCAACCATGGATAATGTTGTAAGTAATGATGCTTAGGCCTTAACTGAATATCGGGAAACAAATTTGTTCGCATATCAATGTAATCATTAATTAACGATTGAAGAACACCTATTTGGTTTATAGATATCTTATAAGAGCAAATATACTCAGTTAATTCCCTCAACAAAAGAATTATTCTCCAAAGTGGATTTTCAGGGTCAATAACTTTCTCACCTATAAATACTGGAAGAAGTCTCAAAAATGTCCAATTTTGGACAGCATGTCCTTTAAGACATGTCAGATCAGTTTTTAATAGTGCTGGTCTGTTACTAGATTCACTGCCATGGAGTGACATGTGCTTTATTTGTTGATTTATGGTTTCAACATTGAACCATTTCATTTTTTTAATTATTTCCTTAAGAAATAATGTCAGATCATATTTGACCACACCTTCAAACAGATCATGTCCTATGCAGGGTGGGAGACCAGGATTACAAACATGAAATCCAAGCAAATTATGAAATAAACATTCTGACTTTATGCCCATGTCGTGTAGAAGATCATTATTTTCTATATTATGGATTGACTGGGTATATGATTGCCTGTTCCTTAGGGGTGCATATACATAATGATTGTTAACCCACAAATCTCTATTTACACAACAAAACCTACAAAAATATTTAGCATTTCCAAAATTTGTTACAAATCCTCCAATCCAATGACTACCAAGGTTGTCCCCGACTAAACAAAGTAAATTAGCTTTTACAAATATATTATTGCTTAAATAAACACCAGTAGAAAGGTCCTTAATATCTCGAATTAGTGGATCTAACACTTTGTTTCCAAAATATTCTAAGTCAGATTCTTTACATATAAGGGCTAATTGCATGTTTTCTATTTTGCTTCGAAACTGAGGATAAAAGTCAGCCAATGTAAAATAAAATCCCACCAATTTGAAAGTTTTTTTGGCAGATCCCAGCGGATTGACTATTTCGAAGGCATCCTGATACATCACTAGCTTTAATGCCGATGGGTTTTCTGAAAAATAAGGATTTCTTTTAAAGGATTCACCGTCAATTATATCAGTAAAAATATTGTCGAAACATAAATTTTGTGGGTGTTCAAGCTGATGTTTCACACTGTTATTGCTTAATAAGGAATCAAGGGTTTGTTTCAGAGGTACGTAATGATACTGACATTTCTTATTGCTGCCATTTAAGCCAAGCTCAATTGAAATTGGCTCAACTAACCCAAAAGTCTCCTTATAGAATGCTTGTCTTTTAAAATTTGATGTAAATCTGTGTTCTTCTGAATTAGAAAAAAATTTTGTTAAGAAGTCCTTATTGAATTCAGACTGGAGTATATTTTCAATGTCTGTGTTAGATCCATCAAGCCCATTCATTTTATCTTTTAAATGCAATTTCAAATTAGAAAGGGAAAGAGAATGAAGATAAGAAATATTTGAAATTATGTCATTTATTGTACTTATAGGAATTAAATGCACTGTTTCAAATTTTAACAAAGCTAAACCTAATACATGCTTAAAATCCTCAGTTGTAGTTAGTGCATTAACATCAAATTCCTCATTATCCTCATCAAACCCATTGTTGTCCAGAACTGAATTATTGTCATCATCTACTGAGATTTCATTAATTGGGTTGGGTTTAAAACTAATTTCAATATCATTATTTTGTAAACAACGATGTTTCCGTGACATATGTGAAGTAAAAGAGGATTTAACTTTAAAAGTACCAGTACATCCATGAACTGGACAGTTGATTGATTGATAATCACTAATGTGACTTTTCATATGACTAATAAGTTCTTTCCTACCTTTTAAATTCTTTTGACATTCAGGTATATTACAAACATATTCACTAACAATGACTTTATCTTTATAATCTTTATTAGTATGATTACGAGAAATGTGACTCTTAAGAGAAGTGAACCGAACAAATTTACCATTGCAATTTGGATAGCAACAGGGATATATTAAATTCTTAATATTTCTATGTAGCCGATAATGACTCAAATAATGGCTTATACTATCAACTTCCTTCATGCAAAATTGACAAATGAGATTCATTTCTTATTGGATGTTCCAAAATTCTTGGATGTTACTGACTTAAATAATGGCTAATACTATCCACCAACTTCATAAAAACAAATGAGATTAATTTCATATTTGATGTCAGAAAATGCAGAAAATTATTAAATGTTCTCAAATTCAACAATAGTTTAAGTATCTAATTCAAACCGTCGCAGCTTGGATATTAGCTGTTATACTTGAGCATTGACAGTTTCTTGTGTTCTTTCTTTTCCACCTTTTGATCCTGTTGTCAAGTTTATACCAAAACATACCCTAATGTTCTCAAATTCAACAGTAGTTTTAAGAGTCCAGTTGATCTAATTCAAAACCCCGCAGCTCTGATATTAACTGTAACACTTGAGCATTAACAGAGTTACGCGTGTTCTTTCTTTTTCCACCTTTAGATCCTCTTGTCGGGTTTATCCCAAAACATACCCTAAAAAATATCAACAAAATAATTCTTATTTTCGTTTAAATTGAAACAGAATATATACTGGGGGCAGGCCCGTAGCCGGGAAGTTGTTTTTGGGGGGGGGGGGCAAAGATGTTTTCGGGAGGGCAAATTAGCATGGGCATCTGCATAAATTTTTTCGCAGCTACTGGTATTTGCGGTTAAGGCCAATTGGAGCGTAGAATATTGGGGGGGGGGGGCAAGACTCAGTATTGGGAGGGCAGTTGCCCCCCCCCTCCTGGCTACGGGCCTGACTGGAGGTGCAAAATGGGAGCTTAAAAACGAAATAATGTCTTTTCATATTGTTTTCATTACAGTTTTTTTGCTCTTGCGCATGAACTATACACATCATTTTGAGTGAATTTTCCACAACATTATGATTGAATTAACCACAACATTTTGCGTAGTAAGCTACGTAAGTCACTTTACTGTGCTCAAAGGAAACTGTTTCAATAAATTAATAGAAAAAACATTTTTTAAAACCAAATAACTTTCAAAAGAAAATAAAATTGGTATCAGATAGTCACACATGTGGGTACATCTAACGTTTCACCTTCGGAGGAAAGGTGATCACATACAAAATAAACTTCAAGAAAACAAATATATTGCATCTACCGTCGGCAACCATTCTCAATTATATAATTTGAAGTGATTGTGTGTATAGACACAAATATATTCTATCAACATCTATTTTTAGTTGTTCTACCTAATTCTTGCTAACATTTTAGGACACTACCTGATTAATATTATTTAAGAAATGTTAAAATCACTTACCGTTGCAAAAATTCTAATGAGGAAGACGCAGCCTTTAAATACTTCAGATCTAATATGTAATAAACAGCGAACATCAACAAAAGAGCATCATCCAGCTTTTCTAAGACTTGAATAGACTTACTTTCAACTATTACATGGAATAATGTGCTTGTGTATAGGTTGCCTGAAAACATGAAATATAATAATTACATCAATATTATTAAATCAATCTAGCTAGAGATTTTTTGTAATCGAGTTGCAGGACTGGAATTAACGGCTGGGTGCAGTAACCTGGTTACAGATGGTAACCTGTAGGAATTGAGAAGTAAAAGATCAGTATTTAATAAAATTTGGGAATGAAAACTGTTTTTCTTTTTGTTTTGTTAAAATTTCATTAATATTGTACATGAACAGATTTTGTAACACAAACAATATATGAATCAGTTCTTAACCCTGTCTATGTACACACACTTACAAGTCAAAACTTTGCCATGACATTTTTTGTGTGGTATTTCAGTGTAGTACATATTACACAATTTTCGTCTTAAAAGGGGGTACAGAATATAAATGTATACTTACCAACCACAGCTATAACTGGTGCCCCTTCTGTTCTTGCTTTATCTTCAATATTTTTCTGATCACACATTTGCTGAAATAGAAAGAGCAATATTGAAATAAGTTGGTGTACAGGGTGCTACTTTCATAACAGCAAAATAGTTAACTACGGTAATTTGTTTGAAAATGCATTAAAAGAATACAACCAAGTACTGATATAGAGAGAGACCATCAGTGTAGGCTTACATAAAGACACCATAAACTTTGTGTAGTAATTTTTATTAATGGTATTATTAAAATAACTTACAGGATAATACTCGAGAAATCCATCTTCTTTGAAATAAGAAAATATAAGTTTAACAAAACATTGTGTGTCTGGATAATTGGTCTCTGTAATTTTTTTAAATTCTTCTACTTCTTCAAATATTTTTTTTATTTCTTTCCTTGACCCTTCTAGCTTTTCCATATACTTCAACAATGTTTTAATTTTTGATGAGGAATGAACAAAAAATTCACGCGGTAGATTCACACCTGTGAGTTTTTCGAAGTGTTTTAGTGCACAGGTTTTCGTAAAAAGAAATGGCCAGTTTTTTTCTATTTCAGCAATTGACATATCACCCCTTGAAATCTCCTCCCTTTGGAGGGGATAAGTTTTGTTCATTACTTCAGTAATAAGTGAAAAATCTACATCTGTGAATCGAGCTTGTCTTTTGAGAAACTCTTTTGAATCCAAATATTCTTCTCTTGGGATTTCTTCAAAAATGGCCTCGGTTAACCATCCATAGCCCCTTTTTGTGGCGGGAGACTTACTACATCCAGAGCCTGAAGACAACCTTTTTCTGTTCAAATTGTTTAACCTGTCTTGAATTCTATTGATAAAACTTGAATAGCCACTTCCGATTCTTGTGTCACCAAATCTGTCCATTAGTGAAGTTTTATAAGTGTCAACAAGTTTCGATGATACTATGTAAATATCTCTTGAAGTTGGTCTGCTGCATACACCTGTTATGTCATCAACAAGAATACGAACTACCTCTCTTCTGTCTGACTGTGACGGTGACCGATTATTTTTACAAGATGTTAAAAATGACTTCGGAAATTTTTCCCAGGGTATTAAATAAGATGTAGCCCATGCAGTTTGACATGTAGGCCTACTTCGGCACTCTGAAGGACCTGGACTTTCATCTGTACTTGAATCAGATACGCCCATGGATGCTATTGAACTAGCGGCTATTGAACTAGCAGTAAAGCTGATGCTACTGTTTGGACTGTTAGGAGGTTGTAAAAGTGTAAAAGAGCCACCCTCGCATACAGGAACCTCTACAAATAATAAATATAAGATAGTTTAGATTAAGTTTACACTATCAAATTGTAGTTTAAATAGACAATACTGGTGTTAGTCATTATCAGGCTGACCATAAAAATATATGTTTTTTAAGATTTATTTTTTAAAGTCAGAGGTGTTTTGCTCCGAGTTCGATTGATTGATATTGGGTCTTGAACCTTTTCCGGCGGTGGGGGGACATTCGTCTTCTTTATTGGCAAACAAATCAATACCAATGACATCATGATTTTAAATGATGCATGACTCGCACATGATTTGCCACGAACTTGAAGTGTGAATTTTCTTCAACACATTTTTAACAATCGTGCGAGTTGTGCCTTCATTTTTCTCGAAAACGGATATTGAATATATCCTCGACATGTTAAAAACGACAGGCAGAATCATTTCATGGAATGGACATGCTTTCGTCTGCAACCATAATGGGTCACAAAAGGTTAATAAAATACTGTAATCAATTAAAGTGTACATCAGTGGTGGCTATCTCATGCTTGGCAGCGAGTAATAATCGAGTCAGAATTTAAAAAGATGTTAACGGAGTAGCTGTTTATTGCATCCTTAATAGTTAGATCAAGATTAAAATTTGGGCTAGTGCATTTAATTACAATTTGATGGCTCAACTGTCTTGAGGCTAATGCACACTTACTGTAACAAATATTTTGCACGTACATTTTTAGCACATTGCTTCTCTGAATAGGGCAATATATAAGATGCTTACAACAGATTGAGTAGGCCTTTATTATCTTTTAATGTGTGAAAATATCATCATGTCTCTGTCACATATGGTAGGGTGGCCCATGTACTCACAGAAATACAGTCCACCGCTGATAGTTCGAGACTACCACTGAAGCGTGCACATTCGCCGTGCCGAGACCAACTTTCTGACAGTATGATACTATAAATAGCCATGGCACGTGCAATTCTCTACAAATCTATCAACTATTACAGCCGTAAAAAATTTATTGTTGACGATTTTGAATAGCAATAAAATTAAGCTTCTTGGTTATTACAGCAGATTTATAAATTACGTTCGTTTCATTTTTTAAATCGCTTTATCATTAACTGTACCGTTAAGAGCGGCATCTTTTGGTTTAGTACAAATAATATCTCTGAAACACTCAGGTTAGGCAAGAACATGATACTAGCAGTAGTTTCATTTTACTTTTACAAGCTTCTTAAAACGATTGTTGAGCTACCTAACGTGCTTATTTCTAAATTCAATTTCTTGTTTTAGCTTTCTGTTATGTTTCGTAAAAAAGTAGTCTTGAATATCCCGACCTGTCAATCAGACGTAGAATAGTCGATAGACTAGTTAAGCGAGACTAATTTCAAAACAAGGGCACGTAACCTATCGTTTACTCAAAAGTGTCTGGATGTTATGGACGACTCTTGGAACCAGTTTTCAGTCTATTATTTATACGTGATTAATGGCCATAGCTTATTAAGTACAACATGATCGTTTATTTAGTGACTATAATTGTGTGGAACTGATTTGAGGCTTGGCATATATATAAGTATTGTGGCGTAATTGTCGAGATATATGGAGATATTTATTTATGGTGGGTCACCCTACATATGGGAGGGAACTCAAGACATTCCCCTTTTTGGCAGTTTAGTTTTCATCTTTCAATGCAATTTGACAAGAGATTATTTCTTACAAAACTAAATACAGTTGCTTTAACATACCTGCTTCTGTTGACTGTTTAATTATTTTCAGGACCTTGCGGGCTTGAATAAGTGACATAATATTGATATCAATTAGATCATTAATTTCAAGGTATTTTAAATCATGTTCCTGTTCTACTCCTATGGCATTTAGTTTCTCAACCAAAAGCTGTAGTTGGTTATCACTAAGAAAAACACATTGCTCCCTTAGATGATTCAGTATAGAATTGGGTGTTTTAGCTGAAATGAAAGAAATGCACTACAATCTACAATCCAGCAACAAATTTTATCACAGGTTCACTTCTAAATCCAGATAGTACTCCTATTACAAACAAAACTACAGCAAAATCCCATGTCATAGTTCTGAAAGGTGTTAAAAAAGTCTCAACAAATGTCGGAATAAGTTTTTGAGATATGATAGAAAAAGCTGTTCGTCCAATCTTTAAAATATATAACGCAATAAAAATAATGATCAACATTTTTAAAAGCATTTTATTTTTGTGGAAGTTACAACCTTACTACAGTTCTGAATTTTTGCACAGAGAAGCCTCTCAATGTGATTATGCAAAAAAAGGTATTTGAGTCATAGACACAACTTGTCACAAGCAGGTCACAGTGGGTCAATTTCGAGTTGCGTAATAATAAGCAGACATTCCAAAATTTTGTGTTTTTACCCTCTACATCTGCGTGACTTACAGTATCTCAAAATACCACGTTTTGTGAACAACCCTATTTTAAGCGTCATTATTTCATTGATAGGCCTACCGGTACTATATTTAGTCTTATTACTGACGACTGGATGTTAACGGCATGTCTGGTTGATAACACGGTCATTTCAATCTTTCACTTCGACAGGAAGTAAACAGAATACTATCGCTATGAAAGCCAGCATTTGATTGGCTGAATGTAAACAGTATATCGTGTTAGCCAATCTCAAGTCTTGTATGAAATGCGTTATTGCTTCCAGTAGGATAGCTATGTATAGAAGGCTTACTGTATGCACTTACGAATGAAATAAGAAAAAATATAAAAACCCACGAAGACTACGTGCAGTAGAGGCGTGTAAATGCTGTGTGAAGCACATAAATTGTACAAACTATGACATAGAATAATATAATTTTCTCACATCAACGGCAAATTCTGTGTGTAAATTACGCAGCGTCCATCAATATTTGCATTAATTTTTTTTAAAAATGCGTGAAATACGCAGATTTTTGCGTGACTGCGACCTCTGGACACAAGTGGCACTTACAATACAACCTTTCAGAACTATGCCAATATGGCATCGCTATGTCACATGTATGTGGCCTGGTTAAAATCGCCACTTAGTATATTTCTATTATACTTTGAGGGATCATATTCATTATCTATACATCTGTCTCCATTGTTGTCATATTTCGATTTTTCCGACTAAATCAAATTATTTACTTTTTTTTATGTAGGCAACTCAGGTGTGTATATGGTCAGTGACAGTAGCCTAGTATAATAGTATTGAATAGTTTTTCATGCGCGTGTCATGTTTGTGAAGAAAATAAAATGGTCATACTCATGGCATTGACAAAAACACAATATAACCAGAACTGCCATATTTTAATAAATCAATGATTTTTGTTTCAATCTAAGCCATTTCAATTCTTAAACACGAGTGACGAGCATAGGATAGGGAGGACAGGAAGAAAATGAAATAGCTTTCATGACCTCACGTGTCCTGCCTAGATCATAATGGCGGAGATTGACGTCATAGACATTCTTACTGCATGGAGAAAGCCGTTACATCTTTTCTAAAGAAATTTTGAATAATACTATATAAGTAGTTGACATTGTGTTGACAAATTACTAAACAAATCAATTTTTAATGAATTGATTGATATAACTGAAGAAACAGTTACCACAAAAATCAAAAGAATCACCAACCTGTTGAATTGTTCATCGCCATGCTGAGAGTGAAGATTTTCCCGCCACGAATCCGACGTCATTCAGTAATTCGCGACATACATCTCATAAATACACTGTCATAGTTTTAGTGCACAAAAGTTTCTGGTTTTAAAACATAATTAAATACTATAGACTGACATAAATAAAACATGAATTTGAATCAGAAACAGGGTATAAAATAATTTATATTTGTTCTTGTCTATTTTACGACAACTGTATCGAACACATAGCTGAGTTTACGTTGCGATAACTTGTAAACCATCGAGATAACTGTCATTCCGTGTTAAAATACATGGGAAGAGTTATATTACAAGTTTACTGTATACTGTTTACAGTTAAATTGATAGTAAATTTACGATGATTTCTAACAGTGTGGCGCATTGTATGGCGTGCAACGTTAAACCCTATTTCATTTCTAAGCACGGGTGATTCTTGATATCCATTTAATTATATTTATTCCGCAGTTGTAACATTGGTTGGAGGATCAAATTCTATGGAAGGACGAGTGATGGTATGGCACAACGGCTCATTTGGAAGAGTTTGTCCTGATGGTTTTGGACAGGAAGAAGCTCATGTAGTGTGTCGTCAATTAGGATTTAACAAGTATGAATCTACAATGCCTTCCAATTCTATATAAAAGATAACGATAATTTTACCACTACGTCTTTTAATTAAATTCACCCCATTCAATTCGTTATATACATATATTTTGCACTTTGATCATAACTTATTTTTTTATATGTTGGTTTGTCATATCGGTCAAAAATCAGTAGACAAAACCAATGTGGGATGTAACTAATTGCGTGTTCAACAGTCGACAGATATAAACATTTCTACTCAATCCATTGTATGTATTATCCTTTTATATAATCTTTCCTGATATTAAAGGTACATTATGGGAGATTCGATAACGAGTTGACAGTTCTCACTATAATAGTTAAAAACTAGATAATGTAAAGGCAATTTGCTGAAAATTTCATTCAAATTGATCCACTATGCACCGAGAACTAAGCGATTGAAATTTCCGCCTAGCCTCGGTCATCATTACTAAAGTCAGTACAAGCAGCATTATCCATTTAATCGTTAAATCGTGAAGGAAAGTAAGCAGTAAATCTGCTCATAATCCACTAATGATCACAAGTTAGCGATGCCATCTAGAGTTGATTATGGTCTGGATAGGTTAATTAATGTCTAATTAATAATTTAGATAGCATTTCAGGCCTAAAGAAAGACCTGCAATAGACAAATTTAGCTCTTGCATAATGTATGTTTAATGTTAATATTATAATCCAAAATTTTGTGTATAATCTTTCTATTTAACAGTGATGGTGGTGATCATGATATTAATGTTGATTTTGGTAAAGGATCAGGTCCCATTCTGGTATCTAATATTAATTGTAAAGGAAATGAGTCATATTTATCCAACTGCAAACGTCCAGAATACAGAATTGGAGAATGCAGTGGCACACCTGATGCCTCGGTCGTTTGTAAATGTAAGTCTATAAAAACAGTAGCCAGTCATTCTTACAGGACATATATTAACAATCTTTTTGTATATCGGTCCTTTAATTTAAACTAAAGATATTACAAGACTCGTGTTAAAGTTAGATTGATCACTACATGCACATGAAGTCGATGACCTTGTTCAAAAAAATAATTAAACAATCGAGACAATTTGATAATAGTCCCTGCATTTTAACATACATGAAAGGGTTTTAGTTTATTATTTTTGATATATATCTATGATCGTCCTTCGTCATTTAGTAACGTGGCCTATATTAAGTCCGGATTTCAATCTTAAAGAATCTGTTTGGATAAGATGAAAATAAGAGATCAAATAACATACAAGATACATTGTATATTAATCAGTCAGTAGTTACACACCTGGGTTATGTGTAGGGTATTCCTAGTTTGTGTCGAGTATACTAGACGATATTGACTTTCAGACTTATTTACAAAGGGAAATTATAAAGTTACCGTAGAAACGTTTTGAAAAAAATCATGTTCAAGTAAGAATTAATATTGAAATAACCCATTTGCGTTTTCCTTAGCGTGGCGTGGTGTCGAATTCCCGGTTGTACTTGACAAGGAGTAGGGTTGCCTGTCCAACCTCGTGGGTTTTCTCCGGGTCCTCCGGTTTCCTCCCACTGCTAAAGACCCCTACGCGCAAGCGAATTATTGAAATAAAATTAAACTATATGTTAGTCCCGAAATGACCTAGTTTGTGTCGAGTGGACGTTAAACTCCATTTCTCTCTCTCTCTCGGTTCTGACGGAAATGCACGCAGACATTCTTGGATTTCGATTTTCGAAATCCATTTTCGGTTGCCCATTGTTGTCGTGAATTCTAACAAAGCTGCAATTTACGTTCGCTTATCCGCATGTCTGTATAGCCATAGCATATCAACCAACGTCATCAACATAAAAAGCGCCATTTGTACCTGGTTAAATGCATGCTGGGTTGGTATTAATTTTTATTGCAAAGACTGTTGGAGATAAAATACTCTCCTGAGGTCACCCCTGAGGTCAGAGAATATTGATCCCAGTCGTACCTTAAATGACCTATCTTCCAGTTGCAGTGTTCCACGCTCGTATCGCGACCTCGTTTAAGCGAATCACGAATCTCTGCAATTGAAAAACTATTATTATAACATTCATCACTGCGGGACTTGACGCCTAGTCCCCTTTTGATGTGTAATGCCCCGTAAGCCATCAGGGGGAGAAATTGGCTGATGAATTGAATGAAAATGACTGGCCAGAGAATTAGCCATATCAGGAAATGTTAGTAAGGCGGTATTATCAACAATTAAATGGTTAACTGATAATGTACTACTTTTACCTTTAATCCTACTCCATACTGACTTGGATGTGGTACAATAATTAATCCTTGAGACGAAACCTTGCCATGAAGATTTCTTTTGTTTGAAGTATTGTTCTACGGGCCTTGCCCGGACCGTTTGCAACAATATGGAAGGGTGGTTCTTAATTTGTCTCAAAATACGATCACGCTCTTTACGAGCAGATTTGCAATCGTCATTATACCATGCCTGTTTGAGACATACCCTTGCATTGAAGATTTCTTTTATTGTTCTACGGGCCTTCGTCTGGACCAGTTTGTATGCCGCAATATTCGCCATAGACGGGTGGTTCTTTAATCGTCTCAAAATACGATCACGCTCTTTAAGAGCGGATTTGCAATTGTAATTATACCATGCATGGTTTATTGAAACGTTTTGGTTCAGTCGTGGTTTTTGGAATCGCCTGTTCAGAATCGAAGGCCATGGGCTCATCTGCATTAAAAGGGAATACTAATAATAATAAATAATAGTGAGTTCTTATAGTGCGCACAGATCCATTAAAACTTAATGCTCAATGCGAATTTAGCTCTCCAGGATAAAAACTTAACAACAACTAAAAAGGAGCTTCTTAAAACAGCTAAGTGATTGTGAATTCTTTAAGATCAAGGGTAATGAATTCCATAGGCTTGGTGCAGTGTATGAGAAGCATCTATGACCGAATGTCTTAAGTCTATAGTTCAGTACCACCAGACGTAGTTCATGTTGGGACCGAAGATTTCTTTGGGGGACATAATCAAGTAGCATTGCTTCACCTTTAAGGCATTTGTAGGCTATGCACATTAGTTTGAACTTCATTCTGCTTTCCCCCAGAAGCCAATGTAAATCCTTTAACAGTGGTGTGATATGGCAAGCTCTACTAGATTGGCCCACAATTCTAGCCGCATGGACCTCAAATAAAAGAAGAACGTTTTGCAAATTTGATTCACTTGTTTCTTCTCAAGTTCAGAATCACGATAAACAGAGAGGGAGAGAGAAGTGGGGTTTAACGTCCACTCGACACAAACTAGGTCATTTCGGGACTAACATATGGCTTAATTTTATTTCAATAATTCGCTTGCGCGTAGGGGTCTTTAGCAGTGGGAGGAAAGCGGAGAACCCGGAGAAAACCCACGAGGCTGGACAGGCGACCCTACTCCTTGTCACGTACAACCGGGGATTCGAAACCACGCCAGTCGACTCAATGACAGAATTTATGATACAGCGCGCGCACGCTAACCATTCAGCCCCCCCCCCCCACGATAAACACCTTATACAACTTCCACCGCTGGAGTCTTTCAACCGGAGAGGGACACGACCCCTTTCCGTTCTAGGTAGAAGTATTAGGAAGGATCCCAACAACTTCATAAGATGAACCCTCGCCAGGCAGATAAATTTTGAAGTTGAATCGAGCTCTCACATGTCTGAGAGGAGCGGGGTAGATACGCCTTTATTATTGTAATGTTCAAAACGGTCCACCATAGTATTTTTGGATAAAAGAGTCTTCTTTTAGTAGTATTGAAGTGTGTATGCAACTGGTGTGATTGTGTCTACTTTTCAAATTATTATGGTATAGAAAAAGCGTGCTTAGAAATACAGCGAAAATGGCGTGAATGTGAATGTCAATACGTGTGAGACCGTCTTCTCAAACGGCGGTCGTGATATCGTTTTTTTTACCGAGACACTGTATGTAATTTAGTGAACTATTTATTTAACTGTGTGAACAGTGAACGTTGTTTTTTTTTGTGAACTCTTTGTGAAATTAGACTCAATTGCCGAGTCAGCTGTGAATCATGATTTATATTATAGGTTTAACATTAGATATCGTGGACTGAGAACTGTCAAAACAGAATATTATGTGAAGTATGAATGTAACTTTGTGTCTTTTTAGCTTATATTATTAACATTAATCTGATTTATTATTAAACCGTCGATTCGTTCAATCAACACAAAACTCTGTTGTTTTGTTCAAGTTATTTAAAAGGCTGCAATTCAGTATTATGATACTGACCTTTGACCCCTGAAGTGACCCGCTGACAAAATTAGAGTGTCTGGCGTACAAACTGTGCGTCATAAACGCCGTGAAAGAAACGTGTCACAATTATGATCTGATATTTTTGGGCATTACTACTATATTTGGCCAGGTTATTTAAGTCTGTCTGAACAGAAATGGATTTTGTAGAAACTTTTACAGCACCAACTAAGATTTCCCTTGTGGTGCATTAGGAAAATTTGCCGTAAGTTTTAGTGCCTCCCTGTCATCAAAATATGAGATTTTTTGTTCACACATAATTTGTTGCTTTGGTTTCTCTTTCTGCTAAATAGGACATTCGCGAGAATTAAGCAAAGTGCTTATGACTATAGGTCCCACTGGGTAAATATCATCGGCGATGTGGAAATAAACCAATTTTCTCGCGATGGCTCCCAATAGTTTTGCCAAAAAACGGAGTAGTCCCACAAGAAATGCCTTGCGACGTGCCATCGTGGATGGTCCTGTAAACGTTCATAAATCTTCTGGGAATGGCCGCGATGTTCGGAAAAGCTCCGGTGTATCCATTGCCACATGGGGACCATATGGGGAACAATTGGGCTGTGGGACCAGGTGATACCACAAGGTCCCCATATAGGACCCATATTATCTTACCACATACAAATGTACGCGAATACACTTTATTTTCATATATATATATTAATATCACAGAGACAAGCCAAATGATATAATGCTTACTTCTTTCTTACATTGATAATGTGACTTTATAGTGTGTGTATCTGGGGCCAATATGGAGTCTATATGGGATTACCCACATTAACAACTCTGTTTTTGTATACATGGGGCAAATATGGTGTCCATATGGGATTACCCATGTGTGTATGTGGGGATAATATGGTATCTGTATGGGATTACATATAACTTTTGTATATCTGGGGCCAACATGGTATCCATATGGGATTACTTATTAGTCTATGTATAAGTACATTATTGAATCCATACTTTTAGTTGTGTATATATTAATATCACAGAGATAAGCCAAATGATATAATGGTTACTTCTTTTTTACATTGATAATCTGACCGTATAGTGTGTGTATCTGGGGCCAATATGGGATCTATATGGAATTTCCCACATTAATAACTCTGTTTTTGTACACATGGGACCAATATGGTGTCCATATGGGATTACCCGTTTGTGTATCTGGGGATAATATGGTATCTGTATGGGATTACATATAACTTTTGTATATCTGGGGCCAATATGGTATCCATATGGGATTACTTATTAGTCTATGTATAAGTTCATTATTGAATCCATACTTTTAGTTGTGTATATATTAATATCACAGAGATAAGCCAAATGATATAATGCTTACTTCTTTCTTACATTGATTACCTAACCTTATAGTGTGTGTATCTGGGGCCAATATGGGATCCATATGGGATTACCCACATTAACAACTCTGTTTTGTATACATGGGGCCAATATGGTGTCCATATGGGATTACCCATGTGTGTATCTGGGGAGAATATGGTATCTGATATCAAAAAAGACTGGTAGGAGATTCTCTATATATTACAAGACCTAGTAGGGCGAAATATGAAATTCTTGTACTTCCGCCACAATTTTTGGCCGCCATTTTGAATATCTTTGTCCGAATAGGTCGG